CCACACCCTGAGGATGACTCAGCAGGCATGACGGAGGTATTAGTCAGGGTCATTTGGGACGAGCAAATGACGGGACTGACTTAATGGTTGTCAAGACAAACAAACATGTTTATCAGCACACAGATATCGCCACAATGGTGCAAAAAAACGCCTGAACTTGGGAAATCGCATTGAGTTAACGCATCAGTGATAATTAATCGCAATGACAAAGGCATTCGGAGGAGCACGTGTCACCCGCGAAAAAAGGAGGGCGGGAGTGGGGGGGGGGGTACTCGCAGAGTGATAGCTCATTCCCGAAGCCACGTTCAAAACTTATTGCTTCATGTACTTGCCTGCCCAAGATGTTTAGTGGTCAGTTTTTAAGCTGAAGTTTACTTAAATTGCCCTTTATAATGCCTAAGTTTTTTTTAAAGGGAACGTAAGCATGAACCATGCATCTGGCTAACAAAGAAGCAATAAATGGAAAGAAAACCAAAAACTCACATTCATAAAACTCGGGCATGATAAGCGCCGTCGGGTTGGCTCGTGACGATGGTATTGACTGAGACTGCACGATCGTAGGCCAGTGACTGACCTCGAGGAAGCGACCAATAAGATGGCAGGATTAGGCAGCTGACGGCCAGCTTTATGGTTAAGTGGATTTGCCGTGCTGTGATTGGCTGCTTCGTTGCGCGTGCGAACTAATGTCTGTTAAGCGCACGTGCGGACGTGTGCCAGTGTCGGGATCGTGGCGACAATGTGAGAATTTTAATTTGTCGTATGAAAGAGGAGGAATAAAATTACCTCTGCAAACTGCACAGTTCATTGACAAAACCGCAAATGAGTGAATAACAAAGTATCCCATGTTCACCGTCGCCTCGCCGAGGGGGGAATTCAACCCTGTGATGGAGAAAAGCAGACAAATATCACTCGGAGAGAAGAGAAGAGCGTTTGGAATACGATGAAGTATCTGTAGGTTCTTAAAATTACCGCGGAATCTACCCATGCTCATTGCTCATCGCAGAATCAAAAACATTGACGAAGTCGGGACGGCCACAGACATGGCTGACACGTGAACACGTCAATTCCAAAGTACCTTTTAATTTTCAAACACGAGAACTAAAGCGAAGTATTTCGGTGTGTCGAAGTTTACCCTTTGAAGGAAAGCTGGAAAAGAGGTTACATGAACCTTCGCAAGAGAGGGACATTTCCCCATTAATGTGTGTGTGTGTGCGCCTTAAGGCAGTACAGCGCAGAACCGGTCTTGATTAGTCACTGCAGTAGGCACAGAAAAAAAAGTGTAGGAAGATGCGGGCGTGTAGGCTATGCCTTATTCCCATGTCACCTTTGTTCAGCATTTACCGGTCCTGAAGTCTGCCCCGAATCGAGAGAAGGAAAGAATCCTTTTACTGAGGTAAGGAGGGGCGAGGGTACTATGAGTAAAAAAACTACAAACCCTGATGACGAGCTCACAGAGAGGCGGATTGAATGTGAGGAAAATACGATTAGGGAATTCACTTCAAGTCTGACCGCTTCATCATACGAAGATTATATTTGGCAGGATTAGCCAGTTCTAGCAAGGCACTTTGTAGGTGGCAAGGAATGCCTTTGACATCGACGACTCTTCTATTGTGAAGCTCTTTCTCACCCTCCCTAGGCAATAAAACAAGTCCCCTCCATCCCCACCACCAGAGTTGCCTCCCAGATCCTCTTTGCAAGTGGCGAGCTAGTCTCAAAGGCTAAGCTGCTCTTATAACAATAGATTTATATTTTTCTGAATCAAGAGGTATTTAAGGCTATTTGGACAAACTGGAATGCGTGTGTGACTAATCTTCCCCCCCTCCCCCACAGGTTAAAGAGAGGCCCTGCTGAATGGCTAACCACCTTTGCATCTGCGTTTTGAAAAATGCTTGTCGCTTTCAGCAATATTGTACCCCCTCTTTTGCTTTCGAAACTTCGTAAATTTTCACAAAATGTGATGACTAACTCACTAAAGAGAGGTTTGATAGAAAAATAAGGAAGCGTTTATAGCACAGGTTTTACCGACTTGTGATTACCAATGGCAAGATTGGCTAGTCTACTCTCTTTTTCTAGTAAAAGGAGAAGACGAAAGAGCTTGTGGAAGCATCCTCCAGTTGCACTAAGTGGTGTCGTATTGTTTTGGGGGCATGGATTGTAGCTATGGGGGGTTCCCGAGTCAGCGCTCATCATAAGTCGGTGAAATACCTAAAAATTGTGGGTTTTAGAAGTGGAAGAGGTGAAAAACCAACTAATATGTGTAGGATGGCTCCATCTGCTTTGCTTTTACTACTTCCCATACAGGTTGATCCAGACTTAAGTGGGGTGTACCACCTTCATCCGTGTCAGAGGAGATTGAATGACACTCTAATTTGTTAATGTAGAAGTAGTGACCTACACTTCTTCATATTCAAAAATTTAGGATTCGTCTAAACGTACTGCACAATTTAGAGCAACCTACTACCAGAAACAACTTTACAAAAATCCTTTTGATCCTGTGCAGCAGGCTTTGCAGCTGGATCGCCTAAGAACTCTTTTGGTGAGATAATCTATGACATTGGATTCATGCGGACGCCAAATGAACCTGATCTAACTGAACTGCCATCCTGACCACGTCACCTGAATATTGAGAAGGATAACTGACCACTGTTGTCACTTCGGCTTCTGACAATCACGTTTATCTACGGTTTTGCAAGAGAGTTGGGAATAACTATGGTGATCGAGTGGCAGAACACCTCCTTCCCCACTTTCCTCTGGCAAATACCCTTGCCAGAGCGTAGCCTACGGATTACGCTCGATGGAGAAGATTGAGAAGGCTCTAGTAATATTTATCGGGCATCACGGGAAACGGGTATTCTAAATAACGCAGCAATGTCTGCAGCGTGTACTAACAGGGACAAACAATGCAACTTAATCGTTTACTTCGCATTCTCCCGTCGCGATTGCTTGGAATTCGCGGGACTCATGGATGACCGGAGTGGACAAATGACTGCTTTTAGGCCCGGAAGAGGGCTAAAAAGAAGAGAACGAAGAGGAGGGAAGGCAGGAAGGGGCGGACAAAAGGAGAATGATTAGCTGCCCTTTTTGATCTCAGTAGAATGTATTTCGGTCTGCCAACTTGGCCTTCAAGCCGTTGACAGGCTAGAAATAAACCTTCCCCACCGGTCCGCTTAACTTTAACTTTGTGGATGAATTCGAGTGTTACATGGGGGAAAAGAATCTTAACAAGTTTTGGTGGAAAATGTATTTTTTTACTCAAATTTACCGCTTTTGCATCCGGACCATACGCGCCCCACATGACTTACGTAAAGCGGAAAACTATAAGAGAATTTGCTCTTTTTAACATAATAAATAATAAACACGGGCTGTACTTAATTATTACTGTTTAAAATTGGCCTTGTGCTACTTTAAAATGTTGAATAATTAATGTTATTACTGTCTAACGATTAGCCAATCAGGATTTCGCACCCATGACTTTAGAGCTGTTCTTTTTAAATCAATTTTGCTAACAATACCCAATGTCTTGACCAAAACACTTTCCAGAACAGAAGCCGTCACGAGGCGGGCTACAACAAGTGCCATTTGTCTTTGCTCTGATGACTAACTGAGGTGACATTTCCACTCAATGAAACACCACTGGGCCTCACTAACCCGCGTCCGCACAAGCCCGGAAAATCCAGCGTATTTGTCCCGGCCAAGTTTTTTAATAGTCTCCTTTTGTCCATTCGAGTATTAGGTGTCTATAGTTTACCGCTTTATCTTTGCCTCTTTGTCCAGGGTTCGCCACTCTCGCTGAGTGGCTGTTGTGTTAACCGTCGTGGCGGGACTAATCTCTCTCGTGCAATTTGATAACACATCGGTCGGACGTCAGGGTGAAAGTTCACAGGGTTAGGCATGGATGAGTCCAGCGCTGAAAGATGTGGGACCTGCCGCGGTTAAAGCCTGCCCCAAGTAGGGAGTTCTTTGTCTCCGACCGAACATGAGTAAGCCGGTGGTACGTATGTGCGCGAGACAGTGATTCCACTCCCTTGAATTCGTATTTTTTTTTGACTGGCCAGGGACTACTACTTGCCATTAGCACATTTTAGGACTACCTGTACGTGATTTTGGACGGCCAAGGGATTGATCGAGAGCACGAGTTTTGACAAGAAAGGCAGAGGACGTTTACTAGTGTTGCAAGCCCACCCGGGGCCTATATCAAATGAGGTGGGAAGTCACGGAGGCCGAGCGAAATGATCTGAATCGCGTCCACTTACTTCTTTCATTTCTAATATAAAAACGAGTTACATTTCTGAGTAGTGACTGATTGACTTGGGATGAGAAATGAACGTGAACGACCCACTAACCCACTGCCTGAACTGCGACCCTCAGTTGCGAACCATTTCACCCCACGCGACCATGCCGGGTTTGCCCGCCTACAGAGTATGAAGCAACGGCTGCAGACGAGGTCCGTCTACTCGATGTGGTACACTTCGAACGCGCGCACAGTCAGGTCAAGTCACCCTGTCGGTAAAAAAGCAACTTCAAACCTCAGGTCTCCTCCAGGGCTAAAGTGGTCATGAGATATCATACACCAACTCCATCCTTTGTATTTACGCGAAATAGAAAAGGTGGGAAGAAAATGTTAGACGACCAGAGCCAGGTTTTCTTGTTCCTACGGCTAAAGTGCCTCGGAAAGATTTCGTATTTGTAGGGATCCCCTAAAAAGATCACACTAATCTATCTGGGTTATTATTACACATCTCTAACCCAGGCTGTAGCGGAAATATCGCAGAATTTTGAATGAACTGCATGAATGACTTCGATGCAGACCGTTTGCAACGGGCATCGTTCTATTAACAGCCGGCGCCTTTGAAGCGTCAGCTGGAGTGGTCACAGTCTTTGTAGGAAAAAAAAGATGCGGGGCACATCCCAACTCCTCTGCCACCAGTGAACCACCTGGACAGGTACTGATGACATTTCGAGACGCAGAGGTCGAAAATTAGCTTACTGATCATCACTGCGAGCGCCAGCTGAAGAAACTATTCCTTTAAAAAGAACACAAGACCCAGGAGCAGACCTCGACCACCACGTTTTTGGTAGTCCGAAGCACTTTATCTCGTCCATATGGAAGCAATAAAGTGTGTTTGAATTGGTGGGAAGAAGCTCATTGAGGGTAGAATGTTTGTAATTCCACGAAATTCAGTCATCGCTTGCAATAACTTGTTGCTGGGAGTGGTACTTGATCTCTTTAGAAAAGACAATCTGTTTCTAGTCATCTTTCACTGCATTTATGGAGTGAGAACTATTTATCTTATAACTGGACAAAGATTGCTGCAAACTGCGTTGTTTGTTCTAGGAAATGGAACCTCACGAATATGATACAGGCCCGGACCGCTATTTTGAATATTTTCAACACAAATCTGCATAATTTTGATTTAGATTGTGGAAAAGTTCGATACCTATTAAACTCAACTTAAGTTGATACTTGTAGTCGGGAATTTGGGAGTATCACTGATTTGTGGACGTGTGAGAAAACAACAAATTGGAAACGAATAATAACGCCGACCAACAAACAAGCGTCATCGCGATAATAAAAAGAAACAAACAGATGACTTAAATATCACCTCTCTACACATGATTATGATGATGGACAGAAATCAGAAGCCATAGAATTACAAGTAAGTACAAGGTACACACAAGAAAAACAAATGCACTTCATGCTGAAACGGCGAAGTCAGTTTTAAGAATGTCAAGTAATTGGGAGACGCTCATTTGAAGAATTTCGGCCCGATCCTCCCCTGTCCCACGTCGAATGCAGTCTGCAGAATTCCTTTGTGCTGTCGCCATTGCTGAAGATATTCCATGCAGTGCCGTTTCAATGCTGTTTCGCACTAGGAATCGATGTACCGTGCAGGTCCTATCATCACACAAAACGTCTACTGTAATCAATTTAAGTAGATATCTACGTGCGACTAATTTTCCATTAAAAATGGAGGAAATTCAAGACGTTTACTTGCACAAGAGAAGCAAAGCCTCACCGCATTTGTCCAATTCGATGAAGTCTCGCAATCGCTTGAACTTCACGCCCATGACTGAGCACAGGATCTACAAGTAATAAGTGATTTGCCTCGATAAGGTTCAGTCCATTGGCTCCCAACTGAAGCGGTAGCAAGAGGACCCAAACACGGGATTCAGCGGACCGAAATTGCGCCAAACCACCATCCCGTGGCTTTAAGAGACTCGTGCAAACGATTCCGTTCTGTTCCAGAGCTCGACCGATAGTCAATAGCACAGAGATCCACTAAAATATATCACGGTAAAAGAAGAGGATAAAAACCTACCGAGCTAAATACAACAGCTTTCGCACCGGCATCTTCCAACTTAATACGCTTCAGGCATCGAATAACTTCTTGGATCTTCGAACTGTGGTCCCCTTTAATCGGAATCTCATTTTTTGCCTCTTCCTCCTCCTCCTGCTTCGACTGAAGCTTTCTTCCACCACCGTCGAAATGAAGAAGGGTCAGAGGTCGACGTTTCGTGGCGTTGGAAGTAGCTGTTTCAAAAGGTTTTCGACAAAGTGGACAACGGCGTTGACTAGACACACTGTGCGCTTGAATTTGTTGGTGACAGGGTAGACAAAGGCTGTGCCAACATCCTGCCAACAATACGAAAGTCGGACGAGAAGGACTTTGTGCTTGAAGGCATGTTGGACACTCCAAAGTAGATGAAGCGGTGTGATGTTGTTGGAGAGCATTACGCAAGAATGCCAAATGACTTAGACGACCTTGAAGAGTCGTCCAGTTGGCTAGAGCATCGACAGAATGCTGATGCAGCTGCGATTCCACTTCTTCTGGCTTGATGAAAGCCATGTCGGTTGGACTGGTGGCTTGAAGTCGCACTACGAATTGTTCCGTCTCGTCGTGAACATTCCACCATTCCTTCGTGAGCATCTGGACCCTTCCATGGCAGAGGAGTTCTCGGAAAAGAAGTTGTATCAGTGTGTCGAGTCTTGCGGCCATCAATTTGATCCAGTTGCGCTCGTCTTGAAGACGTGACACCTGCGTTGCAACGGTTTGAAGAGCTACAGTAAGAGGGTTCACCAATCCAACAGCAGTTAAGTCACCACTAAGTAGAGCAGTATCATCTTCTACTACAGAATCTTCTAGAAGACCCTCCAAAATAGCGCGTTTTTGAGCTCTTGCTGACGTGGCAGGTTTCTCTTGATTCAAAACCTGCCGATAGGCTTGAAGCGCCTCGCTGGCTAGACAGTAAGCACATTTGGATTCAGTCGACTTTTTGGTCCGTTTTCGGGGGGATTTGACATTCTGGTTAGTTGTGTCTCGAGTGCAACAGCAGATATAGTACCTTTGCAGAACGGAGCGATCAACTTCGCCATTTTTCTATTGCAAAAAATTAGAGGCAAAATTAGAAACTTACGAGAAAACAGTTCCACGTTTGATCCAGTGGGGCCATAGCCTCTCGAAGCCGTTGCCTCGCATCGAGAGCAGACTTCACTTCAACAAGAAGAACAGCCTTGAATCCGGCACCAGAGCGTGTGTGAAGAAGAGTGGTCCTAGAATGGAGTTGACTCGGTAAATGAGAAAATCCTACCGAAATTGTGAACAGCGTCCTTGAAGACTGGATTCGACCATGAGGGGTAGTTGGTCAAGGATGTTAGAAGAAGCAAGAATTTCTAAGCCCTCGTGAAGCCATGTCAACCATGGGTGGGTAAGACTGCCTTCGATAGAAGATGGAAAGTCAGGAGGACGATCGAGGAGTTTTTCCACCCGAGAAACAATTGGATCCAACTTTTCACGTGCTTTAGAGAGGAGACGAGAGTGAGTCTACAAGGAAGAGTTGATGCTATCACCCTGAACCCACCCATCTATCAGACACTCTACCAATATATCCATTTTAAACGCACCCATCTACACCTCTATGCATTTGCCTTCTCAAGCATTCAATCATTCAGGATCTATCTGCTCGCCAATCAGGCTGTGGATACCGCCATTCTTGTATCCATTCATTCCGGTTCCATATAACCATCTATCCCGGACTCACACAACCAACCATCCATCTTTCGGTCCACTTGATTTACTTCCCATCCATTCTGGAAACATCAATCTGTTTACTGAACCGCCCATCCATAAGCTTAAACATCCATCGACCAACTCATACCTCCGCCAATTCCTTCTCTCCTGTCAATGTATCTGCATACTCATCCGTCCTGAGTCCACACAATCATCCATCATTCCTCCTATCTCCTACCTGCAAATCCACCTGTCCATCCTGGATACATTGATCAGTTTGTTCACCTACCTTAAGGTAGTCTATCCTCAGTAACCTTGCCTTCCACACCAAGTCCCTATCCACCCTTGGATCCAGCTTTCCCCACGTCGGCAGTTCGTTGGAATTCTCACAGCCATCAACAGAAGTTCCCACCATCTCCCCCTCCTCCTCCTCCTCTATTTTCTTCGTCTTCTTTTCCACGCATGACGAAGACTTCTCCAATGGCACGCCGTGACACTGGATGAGCCAGTGGAGGTTTGTAATCGAGTGTAAGCGCTGACTCCAGTCGGATAGGACGCCATAACGGGACTCCAAGCCGATAGCCGTGCGTAGGACTTCGCGATAACACATGGCGGCTTCGAGGTACTGGAAGGTTAGACAAAAAAGGGTAGATACGTCACACTTTCCTACAATTCAACTGGAATATCTTCCATGGAAGGCAAAAGATAAAACTTTACAATCTACGCAGAATAAGCCTCAAATCTTTCACTTCCGTTCTAAAAAGAAACCTTTGAAAGGGGATTGTTTGCCAAGTGATTTGCTTTTTGCATGACAAAACACGAGTGGCTACTTCCAAACCACACCACTACCCCATTACGGACTATACACTTCCAAAGCATGGATGCCTCATCTCCAGAAGATTATTTTGCCTTGTGAGTGATGCAACGCTGACACAAATGTTCACGCCTTGAAGTCCCTTCTTCCTATTCATATCGTTTAACACAAGTCACAATTTGATCAAAACGCCTTCTCAACCGGTGGAAGGCCTAGCTGCCTCTAGACCCGTACGCCTTCTATGCCAGTCAAGAGGCAACCCATTGTGCTACAACGAAAAAAAAGTCACACCAAAGTCATTAACAAACCTTCTGTTGAAGTATGAAACACGCTGCAGCACCATTCTTGTTGAACACCCAGGTTCGATAGCTGGTCTCGCATTCTTGATGCACCTCATCAACCACTTTTCGAATAACCTCAGTCATGTTTGCACACCTTTGAACGCATGAAAAAACACGTCAAGAAAGCGCCATTAAGGAGTATTTAAAACTCCAAGATCATTCCACTCACCCAGTACCCTGAAACTTCGCGTTCTTTGAGACCTGAAGAGTAGGATCTGAGGAAGCCCTAAACCCCGTACATCTACCACCTCCTCCTCCACCTCCAGTGCTGGAGTGAATCACTACCAAACTAGCGTGAGTACACGCTTGCCTTGCTCTCGTAACCATAGCCACCAGACGCCAATGCAGATTCCCGGGGAGTGCAGCCAGTGGTGCATCCAGGTCGAAATCTGGCGCTTCTGCTAGCATTTGTTGTAGGGCATCGGCACAGTCAGAGAGTGTGCGATCATGAATGTACCGTTCAACGCTGGTGAAATCGACCCAGTGGATTTGCTGGTAGATAGTTGGTAGACGTAGTTGGGAACCAACGAGAGATTTTGTGTTGCGCCAGAGAAGACGGGAGAGAAGACGAACAAATAACGTGTCTGAAAGGTTGGTGGACGAGGAGGAAGATCGAAGCGCATGCACGAAGGGTTGGTAGAGTAAAGCATTCCAGTAGTGCCGACAGGCAAAAGGCTCCAAGCGCAAATAGGCCAGGAGGCCGTAGAAGTCTATAAAATGGAACATATTAGCAGTTCATGCTGTGTTGTTTGAACTAACCCGGGATTGTTGAGGTTGCAGATATAAGAGGAGACGGTACCGAAGTAAGTGTAGTCTTCTACTGCTTGTGGGATGGGCAGAACACACATAATTAAGAATCTTATCACCAGAGATAATGATGGATAAAGTTCATTGTAAAACATGGCGTGAAAACCAGACCCACAGATAATCACTTGTACAGATGACATCAAGTACAGTAGAGTAGGGTGATGAGATTCCAGACCATAGTAAGAAATTTGATTGAGTGGTACAAATCTTTCAAGGATGGGTTAAACTCACCAAAAAGGCTTTTTTCAGCTGGCGTTCCTGTGACGCACCATCGATGCACTGCTTCTACTTCAGACAACATTCGAGCAATCTTGGAGGTCACATTTTCTGCCATTTGTGCTTCATCCAGGCAAATCTACGAATGAGAAATCGAGATTGAGGTAATCAGAACTGGTTATTATCTATATAAGTAGGGCGTTTATCGCATGCTCAAACCTACTCTCCACCAGATAACACAAGCAAGTGGACTGGGTGGGGCAAGGTAGCGTTGAGCTGTTCGTAGAGTTGGCCGATGACCTTCGCCAACTCTCTGCTCCGCGGAAACTGACGCCCATCCGAGCTCGCGTTGGAGAACGGTGTAGGTAGTGAGAACCACGTCTGCAGAGGCTAGCTCACCGGGTTGAACGAAGTTTGGTGTAAAGACGAAATCTGGATCCAATTCAAAGGATGATTGTTGTTGTGATGGAGTGGATGTTGATAGTCGAATTGGAGGGCTGTTCAGACCTTCGTATATCTAGAGTGCCAGATGAGAGCAAGGACGGGATGTAGGACTTACAAGAACTTTTAAGTGAGAAAGATCGACGTGTTTTTGGAGTTCATCTTGCCACTGACGCCAAATATGATCCGGAGAAACGACCAATGTAGCTTTGGAATGAACACGAAGCTGAAGAAGAAAAAGAGTGCGATTATTGTGGAAAAAATCAGTCTAGTGCTTAAAAAAGGCTAGTTTCTTCTGCATCAGACCTTTTGCGCATTCACTGCTTCGAGAATCATCTTTTCACTTATTCATTCCGGATTAAATAGCTCATTTATTTATCCACTTAAGTAACCAATCAAACAGTCATCAACGTACATGATTCCAACAGAGTGGGCAGATATACTTCAACCAGAGGCTTTCACCCGCCGAGGTATCAATCCTTCGTCGAAATTGCACACATTCTTCATGTTGCAGGTTGGACGAATTGCAAACGGAGCAAGAAATCAACGTCAAATCTCTATTTCCATCGCCAACACCACCACAAACACAGAAAACACTCTCCTCTACCATGGCGACCGTTGCATCAGTATCTTCTTCATCTTCGTACATTTCCAACTCAACAACGGTCCCCGCATCGAAAGCGAAGACACCTTCAAGATCGGCTTCCAATTTAAGATCGTAGAGCGGGGCCGTGGTGATGTCGGATGGACAAGGACGGTGAATAATGAGGGATATGACCTCTAAAGTCTTACCAAGACCCATCTCATCTGCCAGGATTCCTCCAAGGCAGGAATCTGATGGCACCTCAGGAACCGCAGTTGTGAAGCTATTAAAGAAAGGATTTCTGAAAATGCGAAAGAAACTTACTGTCCAGTTAGGGTAGAAAAGAATAGATTGTCCTCATTTATCCGTACGAAGTAGGGGGAGAGCCACTTAGGATCCACAACGGGAAGACAATTTTTCTCTCGGAATATCATCCATCGAATAGCGTCAACTTGATAGGGGAGAAGGTCAATTTTAATTTCCTTTGGTTGACAAATATTCGGGTCATTCCACCAGGAAGATTCCACTAGATGGGTGTGCTGAACGGCCGTGTAGACAGAATCCAAAGAAGCAATGAATTCTTCTTGAGTTTCCGAAAGGTCAGAGAATAAAGGAAGTCTTAGCTCATCCAGGGTTCCATCCTGAGGCCATATTTGAAGCGTGATAAAGCTGAAGATTTTTTCGAACTGTTGAGAACTAATCGCATACTGGATGAAGTTAGAAGTAGTAAAAATTGCGGAGGACCTAACGATAACATCGACTTCAAGGGACTGAGCTACCACACGACCGTAAAGAGAAAGGGAGGTTGATGAAAGGCCAAAGAGGATAAATGAGAGATTGGGAAAGTCGGCGTTGAGTACAACACGTTCACGAGATTCGGGCGCTTCGAAACAGAGTGCCATCCGAGGTGAAGAAGAGAAGTAGATATCCGCACGACGGGATTGGCTGAAGTAGGATAAGAGGGAGGAGGAAAATGGAAGGGAGAGGGATTGAAGACAGATCGAATTTGAAGGAATTTCAGCACACATCTGAATGGCAACAGAATGATCATATGTTCGGGATAGATCGAATTTCACGTCTGGGAGGTTTTTTGATCGTTTTCGCGGTTGTTTTGGTTCGACTGAAGAAGGGGGAGAAGGAACACGAATGTGTACAAAAAAGCGTGCAGCCTGGGCCCTTTTCGATAAAAAACGAGGTAATGACTTCCTTCGCATGCTAAAAAACAGCAAAAAGCTTGTTTTAGTAATACTATAGAAGTTTGATGCCCCCCAAACTCAATATGCTTACTTGCAGCGGATCAATTCAGGAGTAATAGGACTTTGCTCAAATCAATTGTACCCAAATTAAAAAACGAAAAAACTGCTTAAACTGGCAAAGCGGAAGAAGGTTAGGGATGTCTACGAAGTTGATTGATGTTTTAGCAGAAAACCGAAATCAAACCGTCAAGCAAATAAAACTTTATATCAATCAGAGGAATGGCTTAGAGGAACTACACGTTTGGTCTTGGAAATGGGTAGAACTGCCAAAAATGTCCCAACTAGAAATTGCAAGATTTTCTCCTAGCAGGACAAGAATGGCATTGTAGGTTGCGCGAAGAAGGCTAATACCGAAGATTTTACGAAGACTAATAAAAGTGATACCTAAGAGTCCCATTTTAACCACTGCAAATCCTCTACGAAGATACAAGCACTTACAATAGCTGCGAAAATGCTGAGATTTTCTTAACTTTTTACCTACTGAGAAACCCCAAGACCCTTCTGGTCTACGATACTATCCATACGATCAGAAAACGGAGAACATGGCAACTAAACAAAAACTTAATTTGTTTTATTTTAGCTAGTTACTTGTCTACTTGATTTGTGTACTGGATCAAAATAAGTAATGCGCCAACTTTGGTTCTGGCCTTATGTAAATTTTTGTTAGTCGTAGTTGCGTGCTCTCGTGACACCCATCGGACCTGTATACTTCGTGGCAAGTATTGAAATCTGTCTTAGAGTACTTTTGCCTGAAACCTATTAAGCTCTGATCGTCCAAAACTGGCTTGCTTTCTGTTTTACCTAAGTGCGTCAGGGTTAATCTACAGTTGCTTATTTCACAGTTTGTAATGATTGCATTTTTATTGACAATTCCCTAGTTTTCTGAGTATTCGTGTGCGGTTAAGATGGACGGATTAAATGAAGACAAAGAAGAGCTTTACCGGTTAGTATAAAATACCAAATCCCGATTACATCATGTTACCTATTGTTGGCCTCTGTGTAATCAAATGAGGTTCTGATAATCCCCCTTTATTGTAAGACATTTGAACCAAGAAATAAATGAAAAGACGTCTCGTCTTCTTCAAGAAGCTCACGACATTGTTGTACGCCGCATGCTTTTAAAATAACTTCTCTGGTAGAATAATAAAAAGTTCTCTATTCCGACCTCGGAATCAGTTTATGAGACACTGAGCAAAACATCACAACAAGATTTGAATGTCCCAGCCGTGGTAAGATGGCTTCATTTATCTGCCGATTTCGTCATTTTTTAATAAGCATTTTTGCAAATTTTACCATTTTTCCTACGGAATTTTAGACCCCAGAGGCCAAATCTAAACTGCCGCCCGACGATCACTTAACTGAGGCTATTTCAAAACTAGGAAAGAATGCGAAAACCCGCTATTTATCTGCAAAATTACGCGTTTCAGAGACAGAGAATGCCACGTTAAAGAATGATCTTCGTGCAGTAGTTAGTATCACCCTTTTCTCATCAATATATCCACCGCCATTTAGCACAGTGAATTAGAAAAGCTGTCCGCCCGGCTTCAAGAACTTGGGCAGGAGAGATCCCGCCTTCAGCGACAAAATGTACAAGATTCCACAAACCTAGATCGTCTCCGTACTGAATTAGAATCAACTAAACAGCGGGCAGAAAGTTTGACCCTGGAGAAGATTGCTCTCGAACGCCAGTTAGAAACTGAACGTCGTCAACGCGAGAGGGATAAGTCAGACGCACGCAGCGTTGAAGTTAGGTTTCAACGCGCTCTAGAAGATATCCAACGCCTTCGTGATGAAGTGGATAAATCTCGTTCCGATAAGGACAGCGTTAAGCGGCAATTGGATGCTGTCACGAATGATAATAGGCGTTTGGAACGACAGAAGTCTGAGTTAATTGTCGCTTTTAAGAAGCAAATGAAACTCATTGATGTACTTCGACGACAGAAGGTTAGAGTAATATTGCAATTTCACGTTTCTTTTTAGATGCTCATCGAGGCCTCTCGTGTTCTAAAATTAACAGAAGAGGAGTTCTTAAAAACGTTGGACTGGCAAATGGATTAAAAGGGGGAGCGCTGAGCTTTATACGCTGGAATTCTACCCAATAAATTTGTTAAATAACGACGTATTTTTTTAAATAATTATCGTGTGCCAAAATCTGCTCCTCAATTCCACCCCCCTTTTTTTAGGAATGGAGAAGGTGGAAGGCGTTGCGGACGATTTATCAAACCTCCCAGCACCTCCACAACCTCCTGGAATACTAATTCGACAGGGAGCAGAAGCTAGAATTTACAGCGTTCCAGCAGGATTCCTCACCAGTTTTCCAGGTCTGGCTTGCGTCGTGAAGGAAAGATTTGTAAAGACATATCGCCATCCAGCTCTAGATGCCTCTCTATCACTTCGACGAATGCGTGCAGAGGCAAGACAACTTGTGAAATGTCGCCAATTGGGGCTACCGGTTCCAGCGCTTTTATTAGTTAATCTAGCGCACCGTCAGCTGTGGATGGAGAATGTTTGTTCACCGTATGGGATGTCGCTAGGAGATTGGTTCCAGCAGGCTCTGAAGCTCGAATCACCCCGTCAGTATTTGGATCAAATGGCGAAGAGTTTGGGTCAATTGTTGGCAAAAATGCACGCAAATTGTATCATTCACGGAGACCTGACCACAGCAAACATCCTTGTACAGATGGTAAGCATTCTCGTGACATCCAGGTCATTCCTGAAAGGTTTTCAGGGTCATCCACATTGAGCGACTAGCAGCATAAGTGACATTGTCGATGCTCCATGCTATCATCGTGAAGTCCGAGCGGTTTAGTCTAGTTACTTCTCCTTTAGAGCAAACCAGAGGACAAGTTGGACAACTACCGTCTCTACCTCATTGACTTCGGACTTTCTTCCATCAATCACCGCGCAGCATCTAACCTTCACGATGAAGAGATAGCCGTGGATCTCTACGTCTTTGAAAGAGCTCTGATCAGTGCTCTGGAGACTCGGAAAGGAGGCGAAGACTTTGAGTTCACTCCCCAAGCCTTCTTTGAGGCTGTTCTCGCGGCCTACATTGAGACTTATCCAGTTGAAGTCCTCGCTAGACCTATCGAAACGTCCACTATGATAATGCAAAAACAGCCACGATATGGGAAGAAGCGAACTCGTCATCATTCCACCTCACGGCTACCGACTCACGAAGACGGAGTCCATGAGGTGAACGGAATTTTACGAACCCTCAAGGAAGTTCAAGCAAGAGGTCGTAAACGCCTCATGGTCGGCTGACAGTCCTTTTACCTTTCTCACAAAAGCGCTGAAACAAAACGTGTAAATAAGTTAAAAGGTCTTCTTTATTATGCCTTTAATAGCGAATCAGGTGGACTGCTGAAAGCTGACCGAGTAACCGCCACTGTTAGGGTCCTTCGTCAGCTTAAAGTTGTCCGTAGAAAGACCAAAAGGCCTCAAAACAAGATTGCCCAGTTGTTTCAATTGGGAGAACATTTCTGCCTTCAACTTTTCCTGCTGAGCATTTATCTTCTCTGGTAGTATCTAAAAG